CGTCACTGTGGAGAGCTGTTAACCAATATGCAAATTAGCCTGCAGTACCACTGATTTACCCATATGAGCAGCAAAAAGACGTTTTAGACCAAATATTACAGATTTGAACAAATACACACAAAAACATCAAAATTAGCACAGAAACAGTTCTATATAACATTTTAGACACATTCTAGACAGTTTATCAGCTAAAACAAAGTTAATTTTGGGGTAAGTTACTCTTTAAGAACAGATCTGGTGCAATCTGTGATAATTCAGCTAGCATTACATCAAGTTTTAGCTCAGTATTTGTGAAACAGACCAAGTTAGATTAGATAGCTGTAATTTTAAATTGGACTGCTGTAGATGTACGTCCAACAACTGAGGTGGTTCTACGTGGAAACTATTCATAAACAAAGTAAAATGTATTTGAATCAGCTGAGCCTCCCATCCATCAGAGCTGTCCGGTTCAGAAATCCAAGCCTTCGTCCATCTTTTTGTTAACTTCAGGACCAAACACTTCCAAGGACAAATTGTGTCCTTTTTTAAAATTTACACCAACTTTAAACACTAATTTCCAGGGCATTAATAATATTTGCTGCCAATTCATCATTATTTACTTACTGAACCACAGGTTGCTCAAACTGATCCAGATTTAATGCCGATAAGAGACAAGAAACTTCTTCAGAGGAAGAGCTGGTGTTTGTGTCGACTGTGAGATTTAAGCAGAATTACAGCAAGTAAATAAATCAAAATAAATGTTAAGTTTCAGGGCTTGTTTCTGTGTTTATATGCAGATTTAATTATTTAAGTATGTTTTTACATGTAGATTAAGTCATTTTATTTCATCGTGTCTTATCTGCTTTAAACTCAGACCTGTTTAGAACATGTGACATTGGTGAATTCTACAAAAGGAAAACTGACCCTGCCGTCGTCCACCACAGAGTGCAATACTCAGATCCTCCACTTGGTGGTGCTGGGACTCTGCAACCCGGAGGCGTCTCAGCATGGGGGCTGTGGTGGTCTGTCAGTGAGGTGAAGCTGCAGTGCACTTCATCAGCAAGGATAGAGAGGAACAAAAAAAACTACAATAAAAATCAATCAACTTTGTGGTTTAAAGACTCAAGCACCAATAATTTAATAAATATAAAATCCTGCATATTTCACCGGTGCTCCTCATTTTTAAGATCCGAGAGGTTTTATTGAAAAGGAAGATGCTTGTAGAACTAAAAACATGCTGATGAAATGATGTCAGTCTTCAATAATGAGTGAAAAATAAACCTTTAAGTTGCGTGTTAAAAGAGAAGCCACTCTGGTTGTAGTTTTTGCTGACACAGTGTGGGAATCGATACAAAGTGCTCTGAGTGGACGAGAGTGGTCTCTTCCAGGTTGACCATGCCCCGATCCATACCGGGCGAAGGGGGTTCCAGAAGAGTGGAACGAATACCACAGAGACCCAGTGCATGTGTGTCAAACTGAAAGCCCGTGGGCCAAATCTGGCCCTCATTAGCATTTTATCCAGACGCAAAATAATTGTTTCAACACGCCAAATAGTTTTATCGTTTCTCTTTTGTCTCTAAATTTAGTGCATTCCTCTCCTGACAGCTGGCCAACTTTTAGGTAAAGGAAATTAAGTTTTAATTTTTCGGTAATCTCTGAATTTGGTGTGAAAAGAGCAACAGAGAATCAACTTTAATCATCTTTTCTTGTATCCTCTTCTCATTTTAAAGTCAAATAACAGAAATTTTTGTGAGGGTTTTCTTTTTTCAACTGATTTGCTGGATTGGGATAAAATGTATGCACTGGTGAATGAAAAGGTTGTTGAAAGAGAGCAAGACATAAGAATTTAAACTTTTTCTTTATCCATTAGGTCATGTATGTTCTAAATGTATTTATTTATTTAAGTCATTCATTAAAAACAAAAACAATTATATGCAATAAAAACACTAGTCATAAAGTAAATGAAAAGAAGAAAAGCTCTTTTTTGTATCTGCTCTTTTCTTTCCAAAAATAAATTCAAACAGTAATAAAAAAACACAATATCAAGTTCTTCTCAAACAACACTTCACATCAATACACACAATACTGTATCACATTTCTTCAACAAACTAAACTTTATTGTTCTCTTAAATGTACAAATTGATCCAACATATTTAACATCAGTCTTAATATTCTTCCGCAGTCTTATTCACTGAGTTGAAGTTTTTCACTACTTCAAAGTGGTTCAAAATTCAGGTTTTACAAATGTGAATGTTACATAAAACATAATTTTTTGTTCACCATTATCCTGGTGAAAATAAAAATGGTATCAGTTAATGATTGTCTCGTTTGTCTCCACGTAGCCTGGTTCATTTCAGAAAAAGATTGAAGGAGATTCTGTTGGAGAACTTGAGGACAAAACAAGAGTTCTCCACAGACAAACTTTATGTTCACAAGAAGACTTGAAATAATCTGTATATGTTTACAGACAAAGGTCTTGAGAAAACATTTATAATTAGAAAACTTGGCGTAATACACACAATCTTAACTATTTTGTCACATACAGTAACTGGCATATTTTCTGTTGAACTGGGCTCAGCTGAAGTGAAACAGGAAGTGACGTCAAAGGGGCACTCTTTAAGAAAAGGAACTCCTTGATCTTTGTTATTAAAACATTATTTGAACTCTGACTCTTCATCTCTCTGATAGAGACTGAACATAATCTATAGAAAGAGATTCTTCTCTGCAGTCTGTTGTTTACATGCAGACTTTCCCCTTTGACATCATTTCCTGTTATTTCACATGCAACTCTCTCAACAACTGTTCATCTCAGTGATTTTTTCCAATTTGTGACTAAAATACATCTTTCAAAAAAATGAATCTTAAATAAGTATAAAATTTGATGTCACACGTGCTTTAAGAAGGACATATGTGAAATCCATTTGTGTGGTTTTAAAGAGACACCCTCAAAACGAGTTGATCTGAGACACGCCTTAGAAAAGGGGCGGGGCTTGTGGGGTTACAATAAAGTGGAATTCTGACCAAAGCGTTGCAGTTCCACTTTATAAAGACCCCGACTGAATGATTTAAATGTGAAAAAGAAGGATTTTAAAGCAGACTATTTCTTCCTTAATATATGTTTACTTGAAAAAGTAAAGTTACAGAAAGGAAATAAGTCCTTGGGAATTCAATTTAAGTCATTTGAAACACAATTTTAAGAATATTTAGGAGAAATTTTTCAAAAATGTAAAAAAATATTCAAAATTCCTGCAAGCTTTTGTAAATTGTGGGAAAAAAAAACAAATATGAATCACATCTTCATCTGCACCCTTCAACCAGAGTTATGAGTACTCATAATGCCGCTTGCAACATTTATAATATAATAGAATAATAGTTACTGTTATTGCATAAGCCTGTACAACGAAATACATAGCAATCTAGGTGGTTTCTTTTCCT